GAACTCCATATGCCTAAGTCAACCCACGAAATGAGCGTACGGGCGTTGAGCCGACCGAAGAGGCATAATGCGTAAGCTAGGGATCGACGCGGTCCCTCTCTGCGTGCTACCAATCCCACTACCGGTCCAGCTACCACAACCCTCGGTCCGACTGGGGCTTAGACATGGAATGTACTCCGTATGCCTAAGTCAACCCACGAAACGAGCGGGCGGGCACTACGTTGGCCAGAGAGGCGGGATGTGCAAGCCATGGATCGATCGGATAGTAGGTGGGTTTAGGCACATCTTTATATTTTTGTCGTGCCAATGCCATTTTTATGGCTTGTAAATTCATACAATGGTCCCCAAAGCCTTCATGTGAAGTTTCGTGGCAAGATGACTCATTTTCTATTTTTCATGATTTTTAAAACTTTTTATGGTTTGGGATTTTTTAAAATTTTTTTAGAAGGAGTATTGGCCCCAAAATTTGTAGGCATGACCTTCTATTTTTGTTGGCATGCACAAAAAAATTCAACTAAAAACTCGAAGTGGAGAAGATTTTTTCACCATTTGAAAAAAATGTCCCCATTTCAGACACTTGAATGGCTACTGGCAGCAAACCTGTAAAATCTCAAATGCCCTTTAATGGGGTATGAGTTCTCAAGGTTTGATGAGGGATAAGGGCCAAGTACCAGCACCCACCGCACATCATGTGCACACACCCCCTAGCCCCCCCAATCGTCGGAACCCCAAAGCCGCCGATTAGATTCTTTGACGATGCTGTCCCAGGAAAAAAAAATTCGGTACCAGCACATGCCCGAGCCCAGCATGTGCACCGTGGCTCAAAATCGAACTTTTGCTAAGGCCTCGACCATCAATGGCATAGGATGGCGCATGGTGATGGCACATGCATCGACCATCATTGCCATAGGCTGTGCTTTCGTATGGGCACTTGCCTCGACCGCCATCGGCATAAGCTGGGCCCTGGTAGGGGTGGTTGTCTCGATCACCATTGGCAGAAGATGGGCCATGGTGCGGGCGGTTGCCTTGACCACCATTGGCAGAAGATGGGCCATGGTGCGGGCAGTTGCCTCCATCACCATTAGCACACACTGGGCCCTGGTGTGGGCGATTACCCAAAACACCATCGGCATACGCTGGTCGATCACCATCGGCCCTGGTGTGGGTGGTTGCCTCGATCACCATCGACACATGCTGGGCCTTGATGAGACGGTGCGAGCGGTTGCCTCAAGCACCATCGACACATGCTGGGCTCCGGTGTGGGCGATTGCCTTGATCACCATCAGCACACGCTTGGCCCCGTTGCAGGCGGTTGCCTCGAACACCATCGACACACGCTGGGCCCTGGTGCTGGCAGTTGCCTCGATCACCATCGGCATACATTGGGCCCTGATGCGGACGGTTGCCTCGAGCACCCTCGACAAACATTGGGCCTTGGTGCAGGCTGTACGGGCGGTTGCCTTGATCACCATCGACACATGCTGGGCCTTGGTACGGGCTGTGTAGACGGTTGCCTCGAGCACCATCGACACACGCTGGTCGATCACCATCGACACACGCTGGGCCCCGGTACAGGCGGTTGCCTCGATTACCATCGACAAACGTTGGGCCCTGGTGCGGACGGTTGCCTCGATCACCATCGACACATGCTGGGCCTTGGTGCGGGTGGTTGCCTCGAACACCATCGGCACACGCTGGGCCCTGGTGTGGGCAGTTGCCTCGAGCACTATCGGCACACGATGGGCCCTGGTGCGAGCGGTTGCCTCGAACACCATCGGCACATGCTGGGCCCTGGTGCGAACGGTTGCCTCGATCACCATCGGCACATGCTGGGCCCTAGTGCGGGCGGTTGCCTCGACCACCATCGATAGAAGATGGCCCCTGGTGCGGACGGTTGCCTCGACCACCATCGACAGAAGATGGCCCCTAGTGCGGGTGGTTGTGCCGAACACCATTGGCACATGCTGGGCCCTGGTACGGGCAGTTGCCTCAAACACCATCGACACATGCTGGGCCTTGGTGCGGGAGGTTGCCTCGAGCACCATCGACCCAAGCTGGCCCTTGGTGCGGGCTCTTACCTCAACCACCATCAGCAGAAGATGGCCCCTGGTGTGGGCGGTTGCGCCGAACACCATTGGCACACGCTAGGCCCTGGTGTGGGCGGTTACCTCGAACACCATCGGCACATGTTGGGCCTTGGTGCGAGAGGTTACCTCGAGCACCATAGGCACAAGCCGGCCCTTGGTGTGGGCTCTTGCCTCGACCACCATCGGCAAAAGATAGCCCCTGGTGTAGGTGGTTGCATCAAACACCATCGACATACGCTGGGCCCTAGTGCACGTGTCACACCCTAGACGAGCGAGACAGAGGTTACGGCCCACAGACCAGGCGTGCTAGCAGGTATCTGTGTGCAAAGCCTAGCAAACAAGTTCAAAACGCCCGCCCAACTTGCAGACCAGCCCGTGAGACCAAGGCCTGGCATACAAGCTGCCCGCACTACATCTAGAAGGGCCCAAGGTGCTGGACACGCAAGGAAAGCTTCTGGAAGCAGGCAGGATCAGCAGGAGCATCCTGACAGATTTGGTTGACCCTGAAAATTAGGAGTTAGCATCCTGATTGATTGTAATCCCATGATTTTAGCCTTTATTCTAGGGATATGCCATTAAGTTGTAGCTGGAGCCTCAACTATAAATAGAGGGCTATTCCACCCTCATTTGTACACCATCAAACACTTCTGTTTCAGTGAATACAAGAGCATTTTCAAAATTCTGTCTTGTTCATCCTATTTCTCTTTAACTTGCGTAATCAGCCCTTCCCATTATTCTAGTGCCTGCACGCTTGTGTTTTAGGCTGACTTAGGCACAAAGGAGGCCATTCCAAGCCTAAAGCTACATAGATTCTGAGTCTAAGGTTGGAGCCCATGACAGTTGGTATCAGAGCGAGTTTGATTCTGCGTGTTTGTGTTGTGTAGGTTAGATCGTGATTAAGGAGATGGCATCCCAAAGTGACGTTGCTAGCCAACAATAAGAGGGCCAAGAGCATGGGCGTGGAAAAGGCAAGAAAGCTGGTTCTAGAGATATCTGGTCTACCATGGACGGTAGGCTGGCCAAGGTAGAGGTGACCATAGGCGACATGGGGGAGAAGCTTGAGGAAGTAGAGACTCACATTGCATCGCTAGACTCCATGGGGGAGGAGACCCAAAGTGAGCTAGAAGTTGCTCTCAATAAAGGTCCGGATGCAGTCACCCGAAAGAATGAATCTTTGGAGGCGGAAGTGCTCTCTTTGTGAGATGGCATGGAGGCCATGCACCATGGCATGAAAAACATGCGCCAGCAGATGGAAGAGCTTACCAGTGACCTCGTGACTTGCAAGACTGCCATTGGGAATGGCATGTTTGCCGGAGTGTCCAAATCCAGATTGGAGGTCCCTAAGCCTAAGGAGTTCAAGGGGACTAGGGCGGCCAAGGAAGTAGACAACTACCTTTAGGGTATGGAGCAGTATGTGCAGGCCATGGGCATGCAAGACGAGGCGATAAAGGTAAGCACCGCTGCTAAATATCGCACTGATGTAGCCTTATTGTTGTGGAGGCGCAGGTGTGATGATGTCAGG